TAATTCATCTGGTAAGGCTTCGTAACTAGTACTACGGAGGCCACATTATGATGAAAATTTCCATTTAAGCAAATAATTTTGTTGAAACTCTCTGGAAAAGTCTAACTACCTAAAACAGGTAGATCCCAGTAATTTATGCTCATCTATAAGCCTCTATTTCAAATTTTGTCACCATCGTGATATTATTTCCGATATCGGTAACAACCACACGGGATTAAAGGTATCTCAGATACAATACTCATGTCAACTCTACACAGTTATGTTGAATCATACGAGAAATTTAGATATTCATGATAAAATGTATGCTTCACATAGATCTTTGATGAAAATGATGAAAATTAAGCAAGAAGAAGTATGAATAATTTAATGTAGTCAAAACAAAGTTTTATTAGTACTTACATACTTACAATCACTACTCAGTAGTATACTACATTGGGTATAATTTTCTTACCTTCTTTCATTACAGCCTGTCAAATATGATACATTTTTGACGGAGCTTTTTGAATGACGTTATAATACCTAGTGAACGTCGTCATTTGGATAACAAGTCAGTCAGATGTGGGGTATATATAATGAAAAATATTAGTAACTGATGGAAGAAATCACATGACAGTCGGTAGAGCTATGAGATAGTTTTAAAAGTCTGTTTTCCTTGACTTTACGATTTAGATGGCGTATTCATGACAGAAGAGAATTTTTCGGTAATGTAGTGTTGAAGGTGAATGAGTATAATGCTTTCAGTTTAGAGGTGAAATATGATGCGTTAATTAAGTTATAAACATAATTGGTGAAGTCGACAATGGAAATGTAAACTAGGTGGTTAGGTGGTGTCCACGTGGTTTCAGTGTAAACATCAAGCAACCATTTAAGTGAGGTGTTAGTAGGTAGATTCCAATAATGTGTCCATAAACAGAATATGTCGATCAGGTTTTAAAATTGAAAAAATATTACTAGTAGATTACTCTACTATTTTTAAGTAATAAGTCCTGAAGTTAGCAAATTTACAGTGCACAATTGATCCACTGTGTCACTTTGAACAAAGGGGTTGGGACGGTAAAGTAAGAAGTCAATCTCAAGAATTTGGAATGCGAGAGATGTAGTGGGATTTCATACCGACGACAGACTGATTGAAATACGAGTTCAAAAGCCAATAGGTATGGCTATATATTACAAAATTTCAAAATAAAATCGCAATTATTTTGGCATCTCTGGGAATTCGGTTGATTTTGTGATGGATTTAGTTGATGTATGTAAGAAGCTGGAGAACCACAGCAAACTAAGAAGCATTAAGTAGTAATTCCATTCCAAATTTATTATTCCATAACGGTGAGCAGGTAGAATTCATTTGGAGTCCGCGCCATGACCATCAAGATTTATAGTGGATGTAGGAAGATCGTGGATGACAGTTCCTATAAACTCAAAGTTTTGTGAACAGCTTTATGGTGAATAGCTTTAGAAGTTCTAATGAGAACTGCATACCAGTAGGAAATGTCAAGTCATTTGAAACGATGACAGTTGTTGCTAAGCAGAGAATTGGAGGAAGCTTAAAATCGTGAACACATATAATTCTTCCCCAGTCGGTAAATTAAATTATGATGGTCGTCTCCCCGTTCTCATTCGGTTTCCACTGGAAGGTCTCCTTTGCTCATGGTGTCACTCATCGGGCTCCGGAGTGTGTGTCCAGTGTATATCTATTTCCTTCTTCATGTTTGTTGGGTGAATTTTTCGCTACCAGCCAAAGTTCCTTGCTGTCTGACCTTCACTATGGAGCAAAGGTGGGTACTGATGAAAGTTTGCAGTAGCCTGCTTGAAATAGTTTTGGTGAGGTGAGGACCAAGTCTCTGAACCCCACAGAAGCACTGACATGACATTAGCACTACAAATTCAGATCCTTTCTCATATGCTGAGTAACTGCCATAGATCTCCACATTGATTTGAGAAGAATGAAAGTCTGTCACACTTCCCCAATCCTCTCTGGTTGCTCCATCTTCATCCGTAGCGCCAGTGGTCAAAATAGTTTTGCCTACATAAGTGAAAGAGGTGACTTCCTTTGGAATCCTCTCTTTGATGGTGATTGGTTCTTGTTTTTCTTCGTTAGGTATCTCTATCACCTCTGTCATTTTTCTGTATATTTATTTGAAATAGCGTCTTCGCGGCCTCTTCAGATGTAAACATCTAATCATGAATATTTGATATCTAGATAATTTTATCCTGGTAGTTATTGGCAATGGTCTCTAAATGTTAAAACTGAGAAGAATCACAACTCACGCTCTAATTCAACTGTTTACGAATTTACAGACGAGCAGGAACATTTAACACTGGAAAGTATTTAAAGAAATACTGTCGTGAATACTCAGATATCTTTCTACCTCATTCAAACATTATATCCTCATGATGCTAGATGAAGGTAAAAACGGTAGACATCACAGCTGCTTATACAAAATTAATATAGCATAATATGTTATGACACAACTTACGGATTGGCTTGTAGACGCTTCTCAGTTAACGAATAAATTAAAATTAGACTACACTGAGAGAAAAATTTAGTGCTAGCAATGGAATCCAGGAGGTGCGTTACTTTCGACTTGGAACTCATCAGCTGGGTGTACTTGCATCTTTAATGTGTTGTGAAGCTGGAGGCTAAAATTCAGTGACCTGTTGGATAGTACTTCAATGTTTAAAGTGATAGGTGCTGGTTTCCAGTCTCAATGGAAACACCATCATTGAGGAAAGAAAAATGCATCCTGGATTCCACTACTAGCCATCATCAGCTAAATGACATCAGGTTAACTACAAGTGACACTTGAAGTATCCATACTAAGAGGCCACATGTCAGCAGAGACCAAACACTTCTGTCAGATAAAATCTATCAGCCGACATGCTCATGTCAACACTTCGAATGGTGTGAAAAGAAGAATATGTGCCTGCCACCAATAGGAAATCTGCCTTGTCCAACTGCCAAAGAAGGATGACTTAAACGTATGCAAAAACTTGTAGGAATCATTCTCCTATCCGCCTTCAGACAAAATATTAACTCACGTTATCTCATAAAAACTATAAGATGCTCTGAACGGAAGACTTTGTCTGGAAACAGTGGATTCGGGAGGCACAAATCATGCACATATCAAATCGCAATACTGAGTATCATCATACACAGAATAGAATGGCAGCCAACCCTCTTCCTCAACTATGAAAACACCTTCTACAGCGTTGACAGTGAAGTGATTTGGAAACGGCTTCAGCACTGCAGAGTGCCCTAAATGTTTACCGACCTCGCTCAACAGGTATATATCAACGCCATATACCAAGTGATTCGTAAAGAAAATCTCCGCTTGGCCTTCGAATTGAAGGCAGGAGTAAGTTACAGCTGTTTACTATCACTCATTATATTCCTGATTGTGGTGGAATGAACCAGGTGGCAGACCGTGAGGACTGAGGATAACAGAAAAAGCTGGACTGGCAGAAAGACTCTGGAAGATTTGGACTTCACGGACAAGTTATGTCTTATGTAGCACAAACTTGAAGTTCTACAAACGAAGAGCAACAAGTTGGTGGAGAAAGCAGAGAAAACAGGACTTCAAGTAAACATAGAGAAGACAAAGACGATGAAAATAGCCAACCAACAAAAGAGATCTAAATAAAGTTGCTCATTCCACTTACCTGGGCAGCACCGTTTCAGCTACGGGAGTCACAGGGAAAGCAAAACAGGCCTTCATTGCCCTGAAACTACTCTGAAGATCTATAACACTCATACAGAACAGGAAGTAACATCTGAATACTGCTTAACACTAGTGTCAAATCAGTCAGTGCTTGTATATAATTCAGGAACTTCGTAGACATGTCACTTGAAGCATATTTAACGAGTCACCACATACCTTCATGAACACTTGCGCTTGCCGCTTCGATGCTGAAAGTCAGATAGGCTGTCTGAAATGATAAGCAACAAGAAAGTGTGGTAGGCAGCGAGCCAACCAATAACTTGTTGCCCAGTAAATATTCAGAAGGAAATGGAGATGGATTGGACATACACTGAGGAGACCATCGAGTAATACCAAGAGCCAAGCAGGCTCTCGAGTGAAACACGAAAGAGAATCTGTCAACGAGTTAAGTGTGAACCCGAGAGTGAAACGAACGAGGTCATTTCAGGAAGAAATGAAAGCCTGTGGGAAGTCATTTAGCCGGTTGGAAGTGACGACAAGCAATCGAGGGAAATGCAGATGTGGGATCGAAGGCCTACGTTCCACTAGAAACTCAAGTAGTGAATAATAATAATAATAATACAATAAAGTCAGTCAGCAGTAAATTAAGGCTAACAACTTTCAGGAGATAACAGATTTGGTACTTATTTTAGTGAAGCGATGAAAGAAAGGAGTGTATCATACATGCTGGAGAAATTTATAGTGAGAAAGTGAATTTTCTCAGAATGTTTGTCCCCTCATATGTCGTCTTATCTGTATCACATAGGTTGTCTGTGTGTCAACATTCAGAAATACTGATAATGCAACACTCAGAGGAACGAACAAGATCAAGATTTGTGTAATTCCACCTAATATTTGTCTACTTTAATCGATTCAGTGATGTAACCATTAGTGCACTCCACTATACTCATAAGATCGACCTGAAACTAGTGAAACAGTATTCTCATGCTTAGTTCACTTTGATATAGTTGGTGAGTACTGTTGGTTAACGTGAGTGGTTTCCATTGAATTGCGTCAGCTAATACCTGGATGCTACGTGATAAGAGTCATTCAGAAGGGAAAAAAATGCTTAATCAAGGTTTTATCCTTGTAAGCACTCATAAACATGGTGTTTTTGAAGTTCTTACCAGTATTTGTGATCATTGTAGATACAGACAAACCCATCAGTACCTCTCATTAGTCTGTAGTATTAATCAAATTCTATTGTAATAGTGTGCAACGTGGCCATTCTGACAAACAAAATAATTCTACGGTACATTGCAATTTAACATTAGATATTATTACAAGATTATAAAGGTATTTATGCATTCAAATTGATAAATGGTGAAGAATAAAAGCAATGAAAAAACTTTTCTTCATAAATATTTATATTTGTTTTATTCTTCTTTTTATTTTACTATTTCATAAAGTATCAGGGTTATGAGATCATTCACAGGATGTCAGCGAATAACAAGAGTTGCATATTTCGTGTTACAGAGAGAAGCTCCACACGTACACCCATTCATACACAGGCACATACAAGGAGGCAGGCACACAGAAAGGTGTAAATATTCTAATTCAACTTAGAAGTGTGTATGCGTATATAGGCACATGAGAAAAAAAGATCAATTGTGTGTAAAAAGAGACCATATCGATTAGGTTTTTGTTCTGTCAATACTTTTGTAAATTACTCATTATCTTATTTTCACAGTTTTTTTCTGTTTTGTTTTAATTGTCAAGAAGGAAACAAAAACAAAATGGTTTTTTCTTCTTCTTCTAATAGTTTTCTTTTTCATTTAATGAAAGCATACTCTGCCTAATTCTAAGCCAAGAATTTGTTGTGAATGATCAATTTGTGGTAAGATTATATCACGTAATGGAAGACGTTGTGATTTTGTATCCACTTCAATTGTCATTTTACCAAATTTCGATGATGCAGACTACATATGTATATAAAAAGAGAAATTGGAAAAGGTAAAATGCAACCAAATCTATGCTTAAAAATAAACAAACTTTTACAAATGAAAAACACCTAAATGTTAATTTACTTGGAGAAGAATCTCATCAGAGTTCTTCTCCTATATTGCTATTTGTGTCACTGACGGGGCTGGATGTAGCAATGCTAGCAAACGAATGATATTGCAGGGAAGTTTTACTATATCACTGAAACCTGTTTAACACTTCCCCGTTATCCAAAGATGTAAGACATAGTAACGATTGCAAGGCATTCGAAGGAAAGTTGAAAGGTCAGCATGGTTTTGTCGTGGAGTCAGTGCATGTGCAGTAAGAAGATGAAAAAGCCAAACTAATTTTAGCATAACTTATATTCATCGACTGTTGGACGACAAAAGGTGTATGAAAACTGCGCATAGCATACTGTCATCAGAAGAAATCATTTCAGTCGAGCTAATCGACAGGGAAATCAAAATTTACTTAAACAGATGATAAATAGTGGCCTCTTTGTCTCGAATTTCTACTTGTCATAATGTTGATCTCCAACTGGGAACATTATTGTTCATATGCTGAAATTTCCGAAATGATAGAGCATAGCTATCCCTTCCTTCCGACTGATATCACTTCATGACAATGAAAACTTCCCAGTTAAAAAATCCTCTTCAAAGAATACAATAACACAAAAATTTCTGCTGTATTTCAACAAACAACATTTAAATACAAGGCCATTTAACTACTGCAACATTTTACGCTCACATCTACTCCTCAATGTGTAATAAAATAAATAAATTTAATTACCAAAAAGGGTTAAGTGCTTTTATTAGTCATTCTAGCAACGATATTATTTGTAGAGGCATGGTTCGTTGCCTATATTCACATAATTACAGAGTATTTTCCAAATAGACATTCTGACATTAAATTGTGTATTAGGAAACTTTTTTGAGGCAATTATTTGGATTGCGTTACAGTTCGTACACGTCTGAATATCAGTTAGATGTTGCTCGATACTTAAATCTAGGCTGTATGATGGATTAATTTGGGTAGTAGTTTTCAAAATTAGTCATATAAATTCCCGTTTTCATGAATTCATTTTAGTATATATGTGGCCTATTTCATTAGACAGGCTTCTGTCTTTAATTGTGTTCCAGTGAAGGCTAAATCAGACACGCATTTGCAATGTAATCATTCAACAGGAAGCCTCATCGCCTATAGTCCAATGCAATAATTCAAGTAGAAATAAACTATAACAATCTAATACGCTACAAAATAGACTTTAAAACAAATGGAAAACACTGAATAAAAACGGTTATTATTACCTGACAGCTGTTTTCGACTAATTTGTAACTCAGAAATGAGCCATTTTCAGTTAATTCCTTATCATTATTTGTAAACAGACGTGGTGTTCGTTTCCCAGTGAAATTAATTTCATTACATATTATTGTTAACTGTTGATTAGCTTTCGAGGACAACAACTGTAGGAAATTAATCTGATTCATTGACATTTCATAAGTAAACTGAAATGTTAAAAATAACACAGAAAAGTCAGGAGAAGAACATAATGAAAACAAGAAGAAAATGAACACTATATACTATATACAATATGACCAACTTCTTTACAAGTGTAGCTACAATGAAAGATAGTTATGTTATACTAAGTAAATCCAGCTATGAGTACAATCTCATTTGTAGTGCTGTTTATCAAAGGCTTTCCACATCACATTTTATTCATTCCTTGAGTTCCAAGAGGAACACAGCACTGCAAGCTTTGAAATTTCAGTAGCGGTGGCGTTGTTTTAACATGGTAGGGTTGTTAATCTCATGCTCAACCTTCTGTCTTTTTCACGCTTACTGTCAGCTAGGTAAGACTTATAAATGCATGATTCTGACCCGGATCATCTATGAGGTTGGCTATCATTTTACTCACCAACCACCGACGCATAGCCTACATGTATTACAATCTTCTCAGTTTGCAAATTAGTTGAAAAATTGCCAATGTTATTTATGTTAGATGAGAAGTTTGTTAACCTCGTGACTTACTGTTCAATATTTATTTGCGTCACTGATTTAAGTTGCTGTTTTTTCGGAGTAGATTTTGTTACGAAGCGATATTAGTCAGAGAATCAACAAAGACTAGGGAGCACTGGACCACTGTATCTTCCCAGCTTAGTACCCTCCAGAGGTGCGCACCTAAAGCGCCATCAGGGATCTAACCTACGAAGCTAGCTCGTTTATCACTCAGTCGTTGGGTTTGATTTCAGTGACCTATGAATTCTAGCATCTATCACTCAGTGAGAAATAAGGTTTTCTTCTCACTTTAACTTTCATTATCACCTTTACATTACGGTATCAAAATCAGTCTGCTCAAAGAAAGGCTATTTAGCACAGTTTTTTATCCGCAAGAACAAAAAGGAGTCAGCTACAATTAAACAAATACATTCATCCACTGCGTGCACTGCATTCTCTGAATAGTTTTCTATCTAATTATTTTTGTTTTTTTCAAAAAGTGGTCATACTGAGGTTTTCCTTTGTCTTTATTAATTTTTATAACAACTACATTTTTTCTCTCCGGTTATATTTGTCTGTACTCTTTAATTTAGCTTGTAATTCTCTATATGATATTGGAGGTTTAATTAAAATTAAATACGGAATTAATTAAAAAGATTTCATTTATGTAGTACTGGCTTTTAGAGCACTGTATCTTACATTTTTACAAATACCGGGTTATTATTCTTCTTATTATTATTTGGCACAGATTTAACATTATATCTGTACTATTTACACTGAAATGATTGTTCAACAAATATTCAACACTGAAAATAACCCTTTGTTTACATACTTTTGGCAATACGACCATGACGTTAGTGGTGCTTTGAATTACACTGCTCCATCTAACATGATATTCATTTGGATTTTGTCCAAATTTATTATTGACTTAATTCTTGAGGTGAAATAGTGTACTTTTGTTTGAGCTTTTAAGAGTTTATTCTGTTGCTTAAAATCTTGCTATTACTTCAGTAGTACACTGATCAAATACTTCTTTCAAAAAATGAAGACTATAATGCCAAAGTGATTATATATATATATATACATATTCTCATCCTGTTAACTGGGCAGTTCCTCCTCCATCGATGAGTTACTTTGATAGCTATGAAACCTAATTGTCACCAGTTTATTTGTCTTAGAGGCAAAATCAGACTTTAGTTGAATTTCTTGGTTTAATCAAGAAACTGATATACTTGCAGTTTAGATTTTTTTAATCACTTAGTTTTTGTTTTAAAGTTTCACACATCATTCCCTTGAAGTTTACCATGAATATAATTGTCGATGACAACCGAGTCCTGTGTGAAGTAAGTAATTCTCTGAAGTTTTCTTGAGGAACACTTAAGTTTCTCTGTCTATAGTAGTCACATCAATAATGGTAATAACAATAGTGGTAAGTGTAATGATAGTAATAAGAATAGCATTAAGTACAGTCTCTTACCTGTTTCTCTTCATAAAGCTGACTGAACCAAATATCTTTACCAATAGTTTTATTCATATCTTTGTTCTGATAAGAAGTAGTCAGTGGTGAAAAACATGTTTCACCTGAACGTAGGCGACAGAATACCTTAACTGCATCTTTATTTGAACCACCATTTGGATCAATCCAGTATTCACCTAAATGTAAACAGGTGATTAAATCAATTAGCACAATCAGTGAATCAATCAATATATTTTTTGATTAACGCTATGAATGATCACTACCCAGAGGTCCAAGGAACTCGTGGTATACGCCAAAGATAACATCTTTAAAACCCTTTTCAGCAAGTAAGTTATACTCTAATGGGGAGAGACTAGGAGAAAAAGAAAGAAAGAAACTAGTAGGAAGCGGCTGCAACGATCAACGTGACCTGATCCTCCAGATACACTATTCTGTTATGGTGATCGTCAGCTAGCCAGATGTTTGAAAGAACAATAGCTGTTCACAGATCACACTTTCAGTGGTCTTCATACATAAATCGGAAAACAAGCCTCAATGGAAAGAAAGAAAAAGGTAGTCTGAAGAGGTATGACTTCAAAACGTGGACATATAAGAAGAACATTCATCTGAAATGAGCTTAGGACACAAAGCGGGTGATACTTTAATCGAAACTGTGAATAGCGGGCAAGTAGGTGATTGAACGACACATATTAGAGTTATCAGATCTATTCTATTCATAAAGGACATTTAAAAAAACTTATTTTGTCTTAGCTCTGTGTAGTTTTCACTTTAAGCCGTCTACTAACTAATTTAATTTCAAAAATAATTGTGAGATACTTCACATAGTCTGGTTCAAATTATCCCGCCAATCTGTTTTGTCTAAGTCATGTCTAAAATATGTTTCCGCTTTATTCACTCAATAAATGTTGATCTCAAAGCAGAAACAGATAATGTCCAGGTAAAACTGATCACACCATTAGGATCACATGTTCATCGGTAGCTTGACTGGATGACACAGTGAAAGTTGTTTCGGTTCAGTAGATACTTTTAGAATAGAGCATTTAAGCGTTATGATTAAAAATCCTAGATTTTAGTGGTAATTGTTCATTGTCTTAATTCGCTAATTACTACACAAAATCCAAGTCCACATAACTATTCTGAAAAAAAACACAAAAAGGAAATAGATCAATCAGAAAAATTCAGTTGGCATGCAAACAAATCTTACCATCTGGAAGTTGAGGATGTGTACGGGACAAATAATTGCAGGATCTAGCTGGGAAACTGCGTGTTCCATTGGGCATTTCTAGAGTAATACCCTTTTGGTCTCCATACATTTTACTGTAACTCATAGCTGGGGGCCCAGGAGGCCCAGGCGGCCCTTCATTACCCATGTGACCAGGGGGTCCCCGTGGTCCATCTTTTCCCACAGGACCAGGGCCACCTGGAGGACCAGGTTCACCAATAAATCCAGCCTCCCCTTGTGGTCCTGGAGCACCAGGAGACCCAACTTCTCCTGGCAAACCAGAAAGTCCACGATATCCGCGAAGACCTGGTTGTCCTGGCTGTCCAGCTATCCCAGGAAGGCCGGGATCACCGGGAGGACCAGTCCATCCTTTGTGTCCCTGCGGTCCAGATTTTCCTTGTCTACCTGGCGATCCATCTTTTCCGGGTCGTCCAGGAAGTCCTGGTGGTCCATCTTCACCTTTTCCTCCCGGCACACCGTCTGTACCAGCATCACCTGGCTCACCCCTCGGTCCGCTTGGTCCATCTGGTCCCGGTATTCCCGGAGGCCCACTGGGTCCTGGTGGGCCTGGTTCTCCTAAGGGACCTGGTGGACCCTGGAGCCCTCGTTCACCTGGAAGACCTTGTGGTCCAGGAGATCCAACTTCTCCAACTGGTCCAGCACCACCAACCTCTCCGTCCGTTCCTGGTGGCCCAGGCGGTCCAACAGGACCAGATGGTCCTTGCGGGCCTTCCTTACCTGTTGGTCCTATCTTTCCTTGAGGTCCCGGCACACCCATAACTCCAGCTGATCCTCTTGCACCTGGTCTGCCAGGAGCACCCATTTTTCCCTAGATAAGATGAAACAAGAAAAGATAATAAAATAATTAATGTCAACAACAATCTTATATACAGAAGTGTTGCATTTTAATTTTCATAATGCATACCTATATGTTTTAGTCGGGAATGATATTGATGTCGTGTAGGGTTAAAACAGCATGGCATGTATGAAACAGATGGTATGGAATGATGTTTTTATTCTTTGCGTTCGCTTGTATTTCATACATTAAGGGTCTCTGAAATATGACCTTCCTCAATTTTTTGAACACAAGATTTAAAAACTGAAGTCTAGAATCCTTATAATTTAATCTATGATTTCATAAAATGGACTCACACAAAGAACTTGGAGGATCTGGACTTCGCCGACGATATATGTCTGATTTCCCACAAACTGGAAGATATGCAAGTGAAAAGTAACAAGTTGGCAGAAGAAGCATCAAAGATAGGACTCCAGGTGAACATAGAGAAAACGGAGGTGATGAAGATTCCTGGCCAACACCAACAGCCACAGCAACAACAACAGACAGCAATCAGCATAAATGGAAGGAACCTGAAAGAAACTACCTCCTTTACCTACTTGGGAAGCATTGTTTCAACTACAGGCGGAACTGACGAGGATATCAAAGCAAGGATCGGGAAAGCAAGGCAAGCTTTCATTACTCTCAAGTCTGTGTGGAGGTCAACATCATTCAGCGTCAAAAATAAGATCCGGATTTTCAACTCCAATGTGAAGTCAGTACTACTATACGGATCAGAGACTTGGCGTGTCACAAAGAGCACCTCAAACAAGCTACAGACCTTCATTAACAGATGTCTTCGCTCAATACTCAAGATCAGATGGCCAGAAAAGATCAGCAAGAGAGATCTCTGGCAACGAGCGAACCAACCAGGAACCGATTGTGAAACAAATAGGCAGGAAGAAATGGAGATGGATTGGCCATACTCTGAGGAAACCATCAAGTGACATCACTAGACAAGCCATTGTTCGAGTGGAACCCGAAAGGGAAGCGACGAGTTGGTCGTCCAAGGGTGACCTGGAGGAGATCATGTGAAGAAGAATTGAAAGCGTATGGGCAGACTTGGAGCCAGGTGAAGACTCTAGCAGAGAACCGAACGCAATGGAGACGCATGGCTGAAGCCCTATGTTCCTCTAGGAACTAAAGGAAATAATAATAATAATAATGATTTCATTTGTTATCAAGAGATTAGAGTGAAATTCTTCTACAAATGCATTATTATCATTAGACAAGAAAACACTACTGTACTTAAAAATTCACGAGTTTGTCAGAAAGATTACCTGAAGTCCAGGAAGTCCATCTTTGCCCTGAGTTCCTCTTGGTCCAGCTTGCCCTCTAGGCCCAGCAGGTCCTTCATCTCCGGGTGGACCTTTAGCACCATCAATTCCTGGAGGGCCAGCGGCACCGCGAGCTCCTGGTGCACCTGTATTCCCAGGAGGCCCCTGTGGACCAGCAGTTCCATTAACACCATCCACTCCAGGTAAGCCAGGTTCCCCTGATGGGCCGGGAATTCCAGATGGCCCAGGAGGGCCAGCATATCCAGCATCTCCGGGTTTCCCTGGTGGTCCTTGTGCTCCAACAGCTCCAGACTGACCAGGTTTACCTGATTTCCCTGGCCTTCCAGGTGCACCATCAACACCATCTCTGCCACGCGGACCTTCAGGCCCAGGTGGACCATCTTCACCTGGCGCACCAGCCTCTCCAATTGGACCCGGATCTCCAGGTGCACCTAAAAATATATTTTTAGAAGTAAACGGGAATTAATAAACTGTGTTTACTTGAGAAATTTGAAATAATGTATAACTAACCAATCTATAGAACACAATATTCAGAGAAGAGACTCTTTTCAATGAATTTATTATCAAGCTGTACAATCGTATATATATATATATACATGATGTTTTTAAAGAAATTAAATCCGGTGGAGGAATTGAATCAAAAGGTGTGAATACATGAAATAATAATCGTATGAAATACGATTAAAATGTTTGTGATTATGATCATAGTTACACGTGAAGTGGCAAAACAATTAGTGTCATATATAGAATAATTCACAAGATGTATAGATGTCGGAAACGAATGAAGTTAGTGGGCTAATATACAAAACATTACATTGCATGGTGTGAAATTTGATAAGAAGGAACTCAACATTATAAAAAATTTAGAATTTAGAATGACAAGTGAGACATGTGGAAACAATTCAGAGTGAAAGTAGTAATAGTAATAATCGTAGTAATGAGGGAAAGGTATATAGATTAACTAAATAAACAAAATAAATAAAATATTAAAAAAAATAAATAAATTTCTATCCTTCTATGGCCAAGGCAGAAATAAGGATTGCACATACTTCTTTTGTACACAAAGGTCCGGCTTAAATTCATGAATGGCCAAGGCCTCCACTGCTTTTATAAGTTTATAACGAAGAAAAATGCTGCAAGTTAGTATGGATCCGATAGATTATCTTAAAGTGATAGTCAGGGTTGGGAGAGTGACAGGAGTTGGTCAAGTATTCTAGAGTACAGCTTCGTACACACTTCCTTTCTCCCTAATAAAGCCATGCTGGAATATGTCCTCGTATCCATTTAGAAAGTGTTTGATGGCTACGACTGATGTTCCTTGCTCCTCAAGAGCAGTTGAACTGCAGATGCACATCAAGGCGGCCAGACGAGGGGGCCTATCTTTTAGAGAGATGCAGAACGACTTGCGGCTGGTGAAGGTCATTTGTAATTTTGCAGCCAAGAACGCCTTACCGACTGAATAAGACAGACGGTTTTTGAGCACATCTGAATCTTGATCACCTTTGAATTCCTAATTCATGAATAAGGTTTTCTTTGGAACTGAGTCGGTGACCAGTTTGGACTGTTTATCTCTTGTGTTTCTGTCGATAAATCGGTTGGGGTAACCGTTTTCTGCGAGCGTGGCTTTTAGGAAGGCAAGTTCTGAGTCAACCGAATCAGAAGTGCAATTGTTTTTCATTTGTAGTGAACAGATGTATCTTACACCTGTAGGAAGAAATGCTTTGTAGATAGTGCAGCGTCCACATAATACTTCTGCACCTACTGATATATCAGCTTTTACATACTACTCTCAATTTAAATAAGTAGTCAGTGAATTACCGTAAAATCATTTGTAGACTTATGTTGGTTGTTCAGTGCTCGCCACGTGGTTTGGAATTGGTTCTTAGCGAACAGACTGCTGAACCGCCTAGTTTACTTACCAGTATTAAGTGAGCAAAAGATGGAAGGTTGACTGGTAAAAGCAACACCACAGCAACTGAAACTTCAAAGCTGGAAAGTGTATATTCCACTCGTAACATATAGGAATGAAAAGAAACACTGGTATTATAAACTTTAGAACAAGGAAAGCACACACTTAAGATGATTCATGCTTGTACTCTGACAGAATTAGAAACGAAGGACTTGCTAGAAATCAAGATTCGGGACTATGTGCTACAAAATTGATCACTTATATTGATTTTTGAGATATTAGTGTATATCTTCATACTCACTCACTAGTTTAAGAGGGAACCACAGATTTTTAAAATCTTGATGTTGCTCACTTCAAAAGTTTCATTCTATAAAAGGAGTGAATTCTGATTTATGCAAACAATATTTTGTTCGTTAAATACAATGGAGATTACTCTGTTGTCTGTTATCACTCATAGTTTCCTTTTAGAAATCAAGAGTTCTAACGCACTGAATGCTAATTTATTGATTGATTTAAGATAGACTTGACTAAAACTTAAACTGAGATAAGTGATATTTCAATGAAAACCCTTAATATTAGGGGGATCAGTATAGGGAAACATTCTTAGGCTTACTGGTTAAAGCTTGTACCATGTCCAAGATGCATGGCTAATGATCATTAAGAATATGGATAAGATTCGATTGCATTAGGTAAGTGCGGTTTATCTGCATCTTCGCTTAAATAATAATAGCAATCGTATCTTATCTTATGTTTACGTTGCCTTTTCTTATTGCTTTACGGCCTTCTACAGCTGTCTCAAGTTCTGAATATTTTTACTGAAGAATTTCTTGACTAGTGAATACTAATCAGCGATATAAATTAAAGTCTGTGAACTAGGCACTTAGTCCTTCACATACAATCATCTTAACATCCATAATACGTAGGCGTTATAAAATTGTACAGTGGAAGGAAAAATCATACATTATCAACATTGTGTGTTCCACTATATATTCGACAATTTCAGTGACAAAAACAAGGTAGAAGTGAAAACAATAGAGCAAAAGTTTGCATTCTGTTCAACAGTTTTTTCATTGTTTTCAATTGATAAGTATTTGTTTTTCTAAACTGAAATTGATTAGCTGATAGGCAGAATTTCAAATGTTAAATTTCATGTAATTAATAACATGTGTGTCAACAGAGATCGTTTTTCATAACTTCACTTCAAAACTGTACAGTTATTTACAGGGTTTTTATATGCAATGTAGACTGACAAGAGATGTCAAAGGTTACTGTCATTTAGTAACATTGTCTAGACGTGCCCATAAACACTTACCAGCAGGTTTATCAAAAGGAGAAAGTTGAACAATCAACAGCTCACTTCTGGAGCATACAAATTATTGCCTTGATTTGGTTATGATCGATAAATTTTACTGCAAAAGTCACCAGTAAAGAATACTGTGTTATTGTACGCTTTTTATCAAATTAAATTATTCTATGATGCAATTATGAATTACTGGCTACATGTTCTAATACCTGAGCCGTGTGGATAAGATGTTACTGATAAAGCATCATCAGAAATCACAGTTCAGACTTTAGTGTATGAAGATAATAAATAATCTGAAGGTAGACGATTTGAATTCAATCAGTATCTTTTTGAAATAACTTCTGAAGTGAATTAAGAAGTATCAATACTATGTTATATATGTCCACACCAAGTTCACTTTCAACAGTTCGAAAAAATTTGGGCATTGGGTATCTGATATACATTATAATAAAGGTTATTTGTATTTCCCAATGAATGTAAAACAAAACGATATTGTTGTGTTTACTGACGTTTCACTGTTTAATGCTGATAGCTTTATCAAAGTATTATTAAACCAGAATTTACAAAATCTCAGCATATATATAACAAGGAGTTAAGAGGTAAGGAAATAGACTTAGGTCAAGTTAAAAGGACATATTGAAAGTCAAAATAACAATGAAGATCACTAAACCAAATAACAAAGGTAATAGTATATCTGTTATGGTATCAAAACAAAGTTTACTATCTTGATCATCGTTCGTCAGTATGGGGTAATTTTTCGTTGTCAATTTGGCCAATTGGTAAAGATAACAAAACTAAGTGCAGATTGTTGGATTTGATCAGTGTGTAACATTATAAAAGTAGTGTGTGTTTACATAATGGAATTGCTTATCACATTCGTGTTGATTTTGTCATTTCATGGGGAGGAGGGTGTTTTAACCAGGTCAAATTCTGTCTTAGTCCATCATTCCTATTCAGATAATTTGGATTCCATTTGACTTGAAATGCTTCTGATGTTAGACGGTCTTTGTGATTTCTGAAATTTTTCCGGATTATTTCAATATTGTTAAAATCAATTTCGTGGCCTGATTATATAGCGTGTATACCTATAGCTGATGATTTTTCAAGCTTTTCTAGTTCAACTGGATTTCTCGGTGGTCGAACATATGCTCTACGGTGTTTATTCCTTCTGATTTTGATTTCTGGAGATGTTTATCCGATGTATATGGTATCACATTCCAAGCACTTTACTTTATAGACACAATTAGATAGAGAATCTTTAGGAGTCTGGTGTTTTATATGGACAAGGCTGTTTCGCAGTGTGTCTGATGTTTTGAAGAAAACTCTGATGTCGAGCTTAATGAGCACTCTCCTGATATCGTCTGACGTCTCCGTTCTATATGAAATGACAACTATTGATGTCCATGTTTTCGGAATACGTTTTCGACCATATTTAATGTCAGTGTTGATTTTGTTGATGAAGTTCTTTGGGTAGTTGTTTTGCTTGAGAGTCTCATTAATGTTTCTTTTTCTTTCTCATCCGTTATCAGAGAGTGTGCTCGTCTAAAAAGACTTGAAACAACTGATACCTTTGCGCTGATGGGGTGTGATGATCCGAAGTCTAAATACTTATTGGAGTGGGTTTTCTTCCTGAATATAGATATACTAAAATATCCGTTTTCCCTCCTCTTAACTAGGCAGTCTAGAAATGGTAGTTCACCGACGTCTGATTCTGCTTCCTAAGTAAACTGGATTCTGGGAATGAACTCCAGGAATGAACTGTATAGATCTCGTTTTAGCACTACAAAAGTATCATCTACATATCTTAACCATATGTTAGGAGTGAGTATGCTTGAAAAGATGTTATTTTCGAATCTATTCATGAAAAGGTTAGCAACTATTGGGGAGACTGATGAACCCATTGCAACACCATTTGTCTGTCTATGTAAACTCCCTTGAAATGTAAAATAATTACTTTCTAGACAGAATTTCAAGCTCTTGATTATTTCACTGGTGTCCAGTGGACATCTTTGTGATAGCGTTATATCTGATTCTAGTAGACTGGAGATGATATCAAGACTTTCGGTAATAGGGATACTTGTATATAATGAGTTAATATCATAGCTTACCATAATATCTTCTTTATCAATTTCTTGGTGTTCTATTTGGGATTTGAAATCATATGAGTCTTCTACAATATTCTGAATTTCCTTTTGCAGTGGTTGTAGTATTGAAAATATGTATTTAGAGAGGTTGAATGTTGGTGAGTTATCAATACTTTATCAATACTATGATTTATATAGATATCAGCTATCCACTATACTACTTAAACATAGTAAGTAGTTACAAACTGCCGATATGCATTATTCAGATTCAGTCAGTAATGAAGATAATACAAGAGAGTGAAGCTTTCTTGAAGTTAAATAAACCCTCAGTGTACATTTGAATAATCATCTCAGCGTTCAAGAATTCTTATCTACTGATTTGAATGAAGTGACGATGGACGACAGTTATTCTGGATAGATTTCACCAGGTGCATATCTACCAGTAATCTTCCTCAATTCTAGCGAGAAATCAAGACCAATAAATAATAATAATAACAGCTTTATTCTGTACACAGTGTACAGAGTTCTCAGTGTGACTGACTGAATCATATTTCCTCCACAGTTAAATACTATGAGAATTCTGTACTGAGTGCGACATATTATATAGAAAAAGCTGTTTTCTGTTATTTATTATTATTATTATTCCAAACTACTGTCTAGGGCATTTTGTTTCCTTTAAGGTCAACCAATTTTTTGAAAATCTCCTAAGTGAATAGAAGTTCACTACGGTAACAGCTGAACGATTTATTTAAGGTTAGCCTCTACTATGTATTAAAATCAGTTAGTTGCTAAAGAAAATGACATTGAGAACATGTGATTGAGTTTTCAGTAAATTATTCAAAGATCGCGCAATCTAAGCCATTAATTTGTTTGACTAGTGTAAATTCTGTTTTTAAGCAAATAAATAAATGATAGTGGTAAGAATCCAATTTTGTAAATTCTATGTTCAAAGTGCAGAACTTCAGAACAGGCATATCAACACTGTTAAAATTTGATATTTTGATAGTTTAAAAAACAATTGCCTTTTGAAATGAATTTATTTAAGTAAGAGCATTAATGACCATTAATTTTTTTATCAATACAACTACCTGGCATTAAGACTGCTGCAATTAGGCAAGCGGGTGAAGAAGTATGAGTATGAACACTGCCTAGTTCATTTCATTTAAAAATGTATGGATTGAAAGCATTTATCAGCACAAAAAAAATTACACGGAAATCTACATTGTGAATTAATTCTATTAAAATTTACCTGGTATTCCTGGTCTTCCACGTGGTCCAGGATATCCTGGTAGACCTTTAGCTCCTTGTGGACCAACAATTTTACCATTATCATAACCCTGAACTTGAAGAGGACCTCGAGGACCAGGTTCACCTGGAGGTCCTGATTCACCAGGTGCTCCATCTTTTCCTGGTGGTCCATCTTCTCCAGGAGTACCACGTGGTCCCTTAGTTCCTCTTAGGCCCATCTGACCGGAACCCCCTCGGACACCTGGTGGACCCTGTTTTAGTGGAAAAAAGTGAAATAACAGAATATATTATTTTTCAGTTATGATTTCTTAAGAATAAGTTTTATGCTTCCGTGGACATCAACGTTCAGAATTTATTTTTTCGTACAGTGATCTTTTGACTAATAATAATTGTAATATCCTACAAATCATCATTAAGTGGAGTTTTAGGAGGAATCTGAGGGGAACTGTTAGTGCCCGGTCTTTCGAAATTAAAGTTCCCATGTCGATCATGAGGTGAACTGATGAAAAATGATGGTGAATCCACTGTATAATCCTTTATATATGAGGACAAGCTCATCAAAAAGCTTTATCAGCTGAAATATAGGGAAATCTCTAGCCTAATTGTATGTTGTATTTCTTATGATTTGTTGTTAATTCATTTAGACATAAAGCCTCACTTGATCGATGACACTAAAGGAATAATACCATAAGTCACTCAAACAAAAGCTAAATCATAATCTAACGATGTCAAATACAAGATATAAGCAGAATATTCAGCTGAATGATCCGATTTATTCAATTTTGAAATTTTATTGAACTCGAACCATTGTTTGTAAAAATACCCACTGTTATTCTAGTTTCCTTTAGATTACCGATGATGTTTTACTTGTCATAAAATCTTATCTTACAAAATATTATCGGCATTTAGCGAACTGACAAACAAGTTGATTAGAAGAGTTATTATTTTGTTGGGTTTACAAAACCAACTATTTAGTGGAGGTCGCATTTCGTCCAAGTTTCTTTGAATCTTTCTGAGTTAAATTCTAAATTTGAATGTTTATGGTTTACGTCAGATAAGTAAACAGTAAACGGTAGACATTGTTTAAACATTATGTAGCTTAAAAGAGTATTTCTACTCTGGTATTTGTCAACCAGGACCTTCTAGATTAATATAACAGTAAGAAGAAATTAACGTAGATAAATAAACCGTTGCAAGCACAACTGAGAATAAGTGGAATTCACACTTCACTGAGATGACTGTTAAATAGAGAATGTACAGGAATACAATTTTCAAAAGGCACTGCTACGTTTTCATATGAAGTTTCTCTTTTAATACCAGCTGACCGATGTGCTCTAACAAATTAACATTGAACGAGGGCCAGTCTTAAAGTAATACAGCACTTAATATTGTTATTATGTGATGTACCTATTTTTATCAATCTAATCATCTGTGGTGCAACATTGTCGTTATTTAAATATGATAGTAGAATTTTTATTATAGGTTTAAGAGCAAATTCGCTTACGGCTGGCCCAATGCGTCCAGGGATACCTTGTGAACCAACTTCCCCTTTAGGACCTTGTAAACCAGGGTAGCCTTGTTCGCCATCTTCACCAGCAGGTCCACGCTCTCCAATAGGACCTGGCAGGCCAACTTGTCCTTGTGTTCCTGGTCTCCCATCAGTACCCTGTTTCCCATCTCTTCCAGTAGGACCTTTGCCTCCTGGTTGACCAGGCTGTCCAATAGGTCCTGGCTGACCTGATGGTCCGATAGGTCCAGATGGACCTCTTTCACCTGGCGCTCCGATACTCCCAGGACCACCAGCTACTCCAGCTTTCCCACGACGCCCGCGAGCTCCAGTTGGACCACGACTACCTTGTGGACCTGGGGGTCCTGTATCTCCTGCTTCACCAGACGGACCTCGTCCACCACGAACACCCTAGGTGGAGGAAACAGGTATGTATGAAAAAAATTAGTCAATGGTAATTTAAGTGTAACAAATCTTAGAGGTAAGTTGTGAATTATTCAACACCTTGAGTCGAATCAGTTTAAAACAAACAGATTTTGGTTACCTACTAGGGCAGACAGGTAATACAAACTTATCATTTGCAAACTATACAGATGAAGGTAAAAATTCTCCATGGTATCCTTTGAAAACATTCTGTCTGCTTGATATCCTAGATGCCAATCAAGAAATCAGGCAAAATAACTTGATGGTATATTGCACTGACTGATATGTGTGAATGACTTATTTTGACGGTGTAAACAACCATCATTTATGAATACACAACCTGCTTCATTGAATGTTATACATTCGAAATAATAATCCGTTGAATTTTCATGCTGATGTATTTCTTTCAATCAAGTGGAGAATGTTGATATTTGATACAGTCATCTGTATCTCACTGGTATTAAACCAAACCTCTGAATTCTTCTAACAAAATAACATCATGTTCTCAAAGTAATTCTAATTTCCAGACCTTTTTTCTGTTGATTTCACTGTATTTCTTTTAATAAACCTTCTTTCAAAAGCTATCTTATATAAACTGATCCATTCACATGTATGTTTCTTGTAACTCCATCTTGTATCATTGGTTAAAACAATGTAATACGAAAATTTATGGCAAATTATCTTACCGGTGGTCCAGAGGGGCCAGGTGGGCCTGCAGGTCCTGGAGGACCAGCTGCGCCCATTTCACCATCATCTCCATCTTTTCCTGGTGGGCCTCTTGGCCCAACTGCACCGCGTAGACCTTGTGAACCATCCTGACCTTTCGAGCCTGGGAAACCTCTAGGACCAGGTTCTCCATCTCGTCCAGAAGGCCCAGGTATACCTGGCGGACCAGGCATACCTTGTCTACCCATTTCTCCGTCACTTCCAGCTTCTCCAGGTTTCCCAGGTATTCCATCTAATCCAGGGTTTCCAGGCATCCCCTGAGCACCAATCATACCAGTGTCTCCTTTCGGTCCAGTCTCACCTGGTGGACCTCGTGGACCAGGTTTACCAATATCACCCATAGGTCCATATGGCCCTCGATCACCAGCATCTCCAGGAGATCCCATCGGTCCAGCTGGACCGGTTGGTCCTTGTGGTCCTGGAACTCCTTGAGATCCTTTTTCTCCAGGCGATCCTGGAGTCCCTGGCCCTCCTGATAATCCCCGTGGGCCGGCAGCGCCCTGAGGTCCCATGGGGCCTGGAATTCCTCTCTCGCCTTTTAAACCTGGTGGTCCATCTTTACCCACTGGCCCCTAAAATAGAAGATAAATAAATGCCTTATAAGGTGTTAATAAAAGTATATGACAATTCAACTAATTATGATAGCATTATTAGAAGACGGAAATTATCTACTAATTAAACATTTGTAAAAAATTATATTTTTAAAATCTCAGAGAAATTGAAATGAGTAATTCGAACGTTTCGTTTGGCAAACTAGTTAAAACTTCTTCAAGGAAATCAATCGAAATTAATATAACACAGGTTTATGTATAAAAAAGACATCTCTTGTTTTTAAAAACTTTGTCTAATCATATGAGTCATATATTTTTAAAATTTTATATATGTATTATATTATTTTATATTTTTTAATTATGGTGGCTGGTACAGTTTATTTAAATACCCTGCAATATTATGAGGATAAAGATAAGAAAACCACCTAGTGATTTTATCAGTATTTCATCATTTATTAAAAGTAAAAAAGTAACAGTAAGACATAATCAGTAGTTACAAAAGTTCTGATTGGTTGTACTGAATTTTAGCGTCTAAGTTATGGATTCTAAATTTGCTCCGATAACTTTAGTATTTCGGTAATTAGATAATACGATTAGACTTCTCTGGAGACAGTTGATCTATATTCGCGTAACTATTCTTATCTACAGAAGATGGTATTGGCCTACATGTGAATCCATAATACACACGCAAAGCTTTTTATGACTGGGTTTAAAATACAAGGTGATCATATATTCCCCAGTAGAAAAACACTTAAATACACTTTAGCTTACAATATAATTACGATTTCAACTGCCATATAGACAGGAATGCATGCTTATCGGCCATCAGACATTGTCTTTCTAGTTCACAGTGCGCTGATCAGAAACTGTTGCTGAAGTACTGGATTTCGGTCAGTATAATAAGTGACACGAAACTTCTGCAAATCATGGAGGTTTGTAATTCTGCATTAAACTTAAGGAGGAAACAACTGACAACACTGCATGGATTTATGTTTTGTGTTTGCAAAAGCTCACTGTAATCTTCAAGTAGAATTACATTAATTTAGAATGTATTTTTCATTAATGGTTTATTGAACAAATATTGAAGCTACTTTCGACTCCTGACTATTCACCATGTGATAGATTTTCATTTTTATCTAATGTTCATTAGTTAATTGGATTTTGATATTTTATACGCTTAGAGTTCATTACTCAGATAAATGCCTTTTGACAATGAAAAATAATGATGTTAATTAGTTGAGGTACTGAGTTGCCTAAATTAGTGTAGGTGGATTACTGATCTGATCGGTAATATTTGATCAGTATTAAATAATGAGTTGAATGTAAATCCGAGGCAACACGAATGTCACTTTTTACTTTTGAGATGTATGTATGAGATGAAATGTATATTCATCATCTTGGTTAAGGTTTCTGTCAGACTGAAAGTGTCAGCAGGTTGAAGTTTACTCAGTCTCCTACTGATGACTGTGAACATTTCCCTATATCCTTTAGATAATAATAATAAATAATTAAGAGAAGTAACAGGTTCTCTAAGATAAAACTTTTCTTGTGAAACGCCTCATTTTCATGCTTCATACCTATTTTAGCCAGGTAAACTGCTTACCTATACAGGTTAGTCTCTGGATTGCAATCAGTTTAGCTGACTAATTCTAACTATACTGGCCCCGACCGAAAGCTGCTACCTTGACGTGGTGGTCGGGCTTGAACACCGCAATGACCCAACAAGCTATGCTGGCTGGAACTTATGTTCCTGCAGGTCCTACCATGCCAGAAAGGTTTTTTGGATACGGTTAATAAAACATTCCCAACCAATCCTATATTAAATAAATACAAAAAATCATCCGGATGGGGGGCCCGGTTAAAACACCCGCTTTTTTGCCGTTAGGGAAGGAAAATTGAACACCAAAAAAAAAAAAAAAAAAAAGGCCGGTGTGACCGGCCTCAACAGTTGTCCCCTGGGCTCTGCGGTCACGCAACCAACTTCCACGGTGTGGGCAGCCGGGAAGTAACAATCGCCCCCACAATCCGAAGTGCACGCGAAACCTCTCTAATCCTCACTCACCTTTGTCTTCATCTTCATCTCTATTATCTTGCCTTCCTTCTACTAATGCAACTCCTCTACTTGATGGCTCTTCACTTCCTCTTCACTCTGTGTGCACTGATAACGATGGAAGCCAAAAAACCACCATCGATAGTCTCCTAAAGCCACGTCACCAATTTCATATAGGGGCATTTAATGTTAGGACACTTTGCCAAATAGGACAACAGGCATCACTAGCCAAGACTCTGGCATCCCGAGCCATTGATGTATGTTGTGTTTCAGAAACACGCATACAAGACCCAAGTGTGGTTATTCACCTAACCCCACCTGGCCAACAGGATGAATCTGCAAAATTCACCTTGAGGGTGTCAGGAGATGCGACGGCTAGCTCATGAGGATTAGCTGGTGTTGGGATAGCTCTGAGTACTAGGGCAGAAAAGACATTACTTGACTGGATCCCGGTAGATAGCTGAATATGTGCTGTCCGTCTGAACGGATCAGTGAAAAGGAAAAAGGACTGCACTACTTGCCGATGCCTTTTCGTAATCTCCGCCTACGCCCCCACTGACTGCAGTTCGGATGAAACGAAGGATGAGTTCTACCAAAAGCTGTCTAGTTTGCTGCGAAAGGCTAAACGCTCAGATATAGTCGTTTTAGCTGGTGACTTTAATGCTCAAGTGGGGAAATTGTGCCAATCTGAGAAGAATGTTGGTGACACATACGGAATTCCGTGCCGGCGAACCGACAGCGGCGACCGTCTCCTACAGTTCTGTTCAGATAATCACTCGTTTCTTGTAAGCACTAACTTCAAACACAAGGAGAGACACTGTTTGACCTGGCGACCTCCATCATCAAACCAACGCTGGACACAAATAGACCACCTAGCAATAAGCTATCGTTGGCGTGGGTCGGTAGGAGATTGTCGCTCCTTCTGGAACACGTGTGTAGATACCGATCACGCACTGGTCCGCGCTCGTGTGTGCTTACGACTGAACGGATGTAGGAAACAGCTGGCGATAAACCCATAACGTCCCCAGCTCGATCAGGAAACTAAGTCCCTATTTGAGGAAGAACTAGCTAAACACATATCTGAGTTCGACAGCTGCGCTCACCCTGAAGAAGCCTGGAAGAATATTCAGTCAGCCATAGATACAGCTGTAAAAGCTGTGAATAAGGTAAATCCAAAGGTGAGTAAAAACCATTGGATTTCGACTGCCTCATCCGAACTGATAGATGCTAGAAGACTTATTCCGGCGAGCTCCGAATTCAATGAGGAGCGAAAGCTGCACAAAAGGAAACTTACGAAAAGTCTCCGCAAGGACCGTGAACAGTGGTGGTTGACAAAGGCGAAAGAGATGGAAAAAGCATCGGCGATAGGCAACACTAGGCAACTCTTTAGACTCATCAGGGAAACGGGTGGGAGAAGGCAAATCATAAGTGAGACTATTTCTGAGAAAAGTGGCTCCTTAATTAGCTCTCAGGATAGACGCCTCGAACGCTGGAAAGAACACTTCGAGGAACAATTTAACTTGCCTACAGCCACACTGAGCCTCCCCGCCATCCAGCACACACCCGAATGGGATATAGACACTGGCCCGCCGTCTGTAAGTGAGGTCACCAAAGCTATCTGTAATTTGAAACGAGGCAAAGCGGCAGGACCCGACGGAATTATTCCGGAGGTGTTTAAATATGGGGGTGACATACTAGTATATAGTTTAACTAAGGTACTAGGTAACGTCTGGGAATCAGAGACGGTTCCATCAGACTGGGGTAAGTCACTTATCATACCAATATTCAAGAAGGGAGACAAGTCCTCATGCGATAATCATAGAGGAATCAGCCTAACGAACATAGTCTCTAAAGTCCTAGGCTCAGTAATCATGAACAGACTAAGCCGAACTCGGGAGGAACAAACGAGGGAAAATCAAGCGGGCTTTAGGTCAGGTAGAGGGTGCATAGATCATATCTTCACTCTCCGACAGATCCTAGAACATAGACACACTTTTAGGCGTCCGACAATCGCCATATTTCTTGACCTGAAGGCGGCCTTCGACTCTGTGGATCGAGAGGTACTATGGCAATGTTTGACTATGAAGGGAGTGCCAAGAAAGTACATTGCACTAATCAAGGCACTCTACTCAAACTCACGTAGCTGTGTAAGGGCTTATGGGGAATTGTCATCTGAACTGATAACAACCAGTGGTGTCCGTCAAGGATGTCCACTTTCCCCTTTTCTGTTTAACTTCATCATAGATATGCTAATGGAAGTATCCTTAACTGAACTTAACGACTTAGGAATCGACTTGTTACCAAGGAATAGTCTTATAGACTTAGAATACGCAGACGACATAGTCCTGTTAGGGGAGGGCGCTGACAAAATGCAGAGTCTTCTGAACACCTTGAGCAGCAATCTTCGTATGTTTGGCATGCGATTCGCCCCTGTGAAATGTAAGATGCTGCTACAGGACTGGACTACGTCAACTCCTAGCTTAGTGATAGGGAGTGAAGTGATAGAACATGTTGACCACTTCACCTATTTAGGAAGTTGTATCAGCACCAACGGATTGATTGGTGACGAAATCACAGCACGGATCCAGAAAGCTCGGGCTGCTTTCGCTAACTTACACCGTCTCTGGCGTAGGCGTGACATCCGACTGTCAACCAAGGGACGTGTATACTGCTCAGCAGTTCGCTCCGTCCTTCTCTATGGTGGTGAGACGTGACCATTGAGAGCGGAAGACATGAAGAGATTGTCTGTTTTTGACCACAGATGTTTACGATCTCTTTCTCACGTTAGGTGGTATAATAAGGTAAGTAATGTTGACGTTAGGCGTAGAGTGTTGGGCAAAGAGGGAAAATCAATCGAAGAGGCTATGAAGTTACATAGATTGAGATGGTTAGGTCACGTGCTGCGCATGCCTAACCATCGCCTCCCCCGACGGGCATTACAAGCTGATATAGGTGCAGGTTGGAAAAGAGTAAGTGGTGGCCAAACAAAAACATGGCATCAATCCATGAAATCCCTGACAGTTAAACTGAGTCAGGTAGGGAGATGCAGACTTCCGGGTTGGGGCCCACTCTCGGGACTCTAAGAATCAATGGCTGGAGACAATAGGTGACATGGCTCAAAATCGTTGTCAATGGCGCAGATGTATTCAGTCTCTTTAACCTTCATATTCCTTTCTACCATTACTCATTCTGTTTCACTCTTATACTTATCTAAATTCTATTGATTCTCTTCTCTCATTTTCCTGTCTACCTTTGTGTGCTCTTTGGAACGTGGCAACTCGAACTGCTGCACTTCGGTGCCAAGTTCTATGTTGAATCCAGCAGCAGCAGCAGCAGCAACTATACTGGCAGACGTTTGTCAGTCGTGATGTGATCAGCCTAGTAATCAATCTCCTGACTTAAGACTTGAATTTCTGTTGATGTACTTCTAAAATGTAATGCCAAAAAACTGTTTGCATAATATACGACTAAAAGAAGCATACTGAAGTTGCTTTGTACTCAAATCAACTAAAGAAATGGTTTCATATACGTTGACATATAATTAAACTGAAGAAATTCTGATAAAAAATTACCATAGGTCCTGGTTCTCCATCAGCTCCAGGACTTCCATCTAAACCAGGATCACCAGGGTCACCAGGAGAGCCTGGTGGACCTTGAAGTCCTTCATCACCTTTTAAACCAACGGGTCCAATCATTCCAGCAGGTCCTGGTGATCCTTGTGAGCCTACTGGACCCATCAATCCAGGAAATCCATCTGGTCCTTGTGTACCCATTTGACCAACTGGGCCTTGAGCACCTGGCATTCCAAGTGGTCCTTTAGGTCCAGGTGAACCGAACGGGCCTGGGAGACCAACTTCACCTCGTTCGCCCTAAAAGTAGAAGTGGACAAATATTCAGTATACTTTAAATAGAATGTATGTCAATCTGTCAGATGTGTGAGAAATAATGGCAAATGAAAAGCTTCAGTAGATTTGAGTTTTCATAATGAAAAATAAATTCAGCTGAATTCGCTGATTATTTAAAATTCCTTGAATACTTTATGAATATTCAATGTTTTCAGGATTACAAGTATACTAAGTTCAATAGCAGCACGATGAGTGAATTATGTATAGCTTGCGAGGATCAACTAGAATCAAAAAGGTTTACTAAAATGATAAATTTGTTAAAGACTATCTGTGAGACAGACAGACTACTAAAAACTCCACAGAACAAAGGATTTGCACATTTAGCAGTTCCATTGACCGTCATCTTTTTTATAGTTAACCACCATCTGGTCGATTTTGGTCAAATCTGAAAAGTAAGGTGAAGAGTCAGAAACCGACAATTTATTTCAGGAAACTCTTAACTACGTTAATAAAAGGTTCATCATTAAATTAGCTGAGGTATAAATGATACTACAGATTAAAACCATCAGCCATTGCAGATCTTCCTCTGAAACTCTCATGTGGGTCAGCTTGGTTAATTAATAGTGTCTAAGATACTAAGACTGACAGTTATTTGAAGCTCAAGAATAATAACCCTGAGAAACATTTTAGGCCAGGATAAGAGTACATTCTTTAAATCTCGACCAGTTCATCGAATTATTTATCTGTTTACGTTCAGTAACATTTATTCATATAGAAATGATAGAATATATGAGTTATGAAAATTTAGCTCACCACTGGTCCATCAATACCTGGAGATCCTTTGATGCCTTTCAAACCTGGTGGGCCCATTGGACCTGGAGGACCTGTAGGTCCAATTAAACCCATTGGACCTACTGGTCCGGGAGGCCCTGAAGTTCCACGCATACCCGGTTCACCATCTAAGCCTGGCTTCCCATCAACCCCTGGATCACCAGATGGACCAGGAGGTCCACGGCCACCATCTTCGCCAGAGGGTCCTGGAGGACCTGGCTCGCCAATTTTTCCCGGCGGCCCAACAGGCCCCATTGGTCCAGGTAGACCCGGTTCACCTGGTGCACCACGAGGACCTGTCACAATATTTGCTTGTAAGAATGGTCCAGGACCTTTTACACTCTATAAAGTTAAAGAAAGCATTGAAAAATATGACATCATACGCAAAGTATATCTTACATGTGTTTAAATAATTAACGCTAACCAAAATAAAATCTATACTAGTTAAACTTGCTTGGAAAATCGACACTACTTATCTTAGTTTACGCAGTGAAAGTTAAGAAGGCTTTAAAATTTCGTCTAATAAACTATGAAGTAGCATTTCACGAGTAAATGGTCAAGATACTGCTCTGGTTATTTAAACTTCACCTGGAGTTAAGAAGATTGGAACCGGTAAATCATTGTTTCAAAGCTAAATACTTCAAGCGATTAGATGAAGTTCCTACTCTTTGTGACCAATGTACCTGCCTCTGCTGCAATCAATCAATTCAGTTAGCCAGACATGTATTTACAAGGACAGATAGATAAGAAGGAGATAAATTGATCAGACTTTCTTATTCATTGAAATAGTAACTGCTTCTGTTCTTCTCGTAGGATGAGGGGAATTCACTTCCATATTAGATAAACTCATTTGAATATCACACACAATGAATTTATCCAGGATGATAATATATTCTATCGCAGTGCTCAAATTTTTCTCTTACATAAATTCACGTCTTTTTACAAGTGCACTGATGACTACAATGAGATTGGAAATTCTGTATACAAAAATGTCAGAAGTATGAAAATTATTTAAAGTATGAGGATATTAGGAATAATGATAATAATAATAATACTAACAAAATAAATTCTTATGATCACTTTTTAGGAATGAATGGTTATATCTCCAACAGTCCCAACATTTTCAATCTCATCAAAGCGAGGGGGTGGAGGGGGGGCGTGTGTGAACTTTGCTGTTGGTAAGATGTCTGATCATTGAGTACATCACATAATTCAGGACCTAAACAACTAGAAAAATAGACATTTTTCAAGTTTCTACAGGTGATTAGTGTACTTCCATCTTCAGGTTTTTAGTGTGACTATCTGAGATAGCCATTGAATGAACAGACTGATGTTAATATAATGAGTAATTATTAAAAGCCTTACTAGGCTTCTTGAATCTAATCATGTTAATTTGCCCTTCCTGGTAAATTTCCATGAAGTCTAGTAGCAATTACGCTTAAAATATAATCGCACATATAGTTAACTTTGTTTACCTTTCAAGTTAAACTTCATCGACAACTGATATCAGTTGCGGAACCATCGAAAACTAGGCAGCATTGGATAGTTGTTTCGTTCGAGTTTGGGGTTCTTCAGGATTGCACACTCACAGCTCCGATGGTGACCGAACATAGTACAATCAATTCAAGAGGCTAGCCTGCTGACCACCCAACATTTTGGCTGGAAATATAGTGATGAATGAATCCTAACTCCTGTCATTTCGCGATACAAAGACATAGTCAACTAATGCCATCAATGAGCGCCAGCTTTACACTCACTATGAGGGGAGCTTGTTGTATACGAATTCTAATTAGAACCCTGTAATCCTGGGTTTGGTCTCTAGTGGGTACTACCGGATAGTCTCAAGGTAGGACGAAGCAGCTAACCAGTATTGGGCGATTCTTAATAATTCCCCAAGTGATAACACTTCGTGACGAAATCTATCTCAAAATTAATTAACATCCTTAAGAACCCAAAAATTTGGATTATTATTATATATTATTATTGTTTCCTTTAATTCCTAGAGGAACATAGGGCTTCAGCCGTGCGTCTCCATTGCGTTCGGTTCTCTGCTAGAGTCTTCACCTGGCTCCATGTCTGCCCACACGTTTTCATCTCCTCTTCACATGACCTCACCCAAGTCACCCTCACCGCTTCCCTTTCGGGTTCCACTCGGAGGCTTGTCTAGTGATGTCACTTGATGGTTTCCTCAGAGTATGGCCAATCCATCTCCATTTCTTCCTGCCTATTTGTTTCACAATCGGTTCCTGGTTGGTTCGCTCATTGCCAGAGATCTCTGTTGCTGATCTTTTCTGGCCATCTGATCTTGAGTATTGAGCGAAGACAACTGTTAATGAAGGTCTGTAGTTTGTTTGAGATGCTCTTCATGACGTGCCAAGTCTCTGATCCATAAAGTGGTACTGACTTCACATTGGAGTTAAAAATCCGGATCTTATTTTTGATGCTGAGTGCTTCTGACCTCCACACAGACTTGAGAGTAGTGAAAGCTTGTCTTGCTTTTCCGATTCTTGCTTTGATATCCTCGTCAGTTCCGCCTGTAGTTGAAACGATGCTTCCCAGGTAGGTAAAATTTGGATTAAAAGTTAGCTTATACAAATATAAGATTTTGACATAATCTTTTTGACAGCATAAGTATTATTAACCTATTTAGTGTTAATAGTCATTGATGTGTACTTTCCAATATTTCATAAAAGTTTTACTGATATATTTTCCACATTACCTCACTAAGCCAGTAATAAGACTGGTAAAGAGCGAGGTATTAGACTACCAACCACACCCCGTAGATGTAATTAGCACTGCTACTGAAACGTAAAAAAACTCAAGCTTGAAGCCCTACGTTCCACTGGAAACGTAAAGGGATGAAATAATAATATACTAAATATCAGTGAATTAATAAATTATACGGATAAAATGTGTAGAAAATTCCCATCCTAAAGGTAGATTGTAAACAACTGAGAAGAACTGACGAAGTAAGAGAAATTGTTGTTGTTGCAGTTAAGCTATTATTTTTGGCTGCTTTTCTCTTCTTCTCAACCTAAGCAACATCAACTGTTTAAATGTCGTTGTAAAGTCACCGGTTTTTCTTTTTATAAACCCATCTTAATGATATATGCTATATATATTAGTTCATTTACTTACCGAAGGTACTGGAGTCGTTTCCGCTGGGATATCATCGTCCCCACCACTTGCTGAAATGTCTTCGTTTAGTGCATCCTCTCGTCGAACACGAACAACACGCTCACCTGTGAAAAATAATTTAGTAGAAAAATGTAAACATATATATCCTCGCTTACTTTACTAGTACGCTAGTTTCCTAGCCGATTCTTACTCCGGGGAAAACAGGGAAGGTTGGATGTATGGCTAGAGACCCTACCGTGGAAAATCGAACCAATCGCTTCAGGAAATTAAAGCACATGACAAATATAAAAAGTAGACTAGTTCTTCGCTGGATATGGAGAGACGGAGTGACGCAGGCTGATGAATGCTTTTGGGAATATAACTATAGGAATGCTAGGAATCTGTGAGAACAGGTGGAACGGATGTAAACTCTCCAAATTGTAAAATTGAGAGTCAGCAATCTACTCCGGTCACCCAGAGGATAATCATGACCACACTAGGGAAGTCCCTATCATTATGTTACCAAAAGCAGCCAAAGCTCTTATACAGTGGGAGCCAACCTCATCCAGGATAGTAACAGGAAGATTCAACTAGAAAGGAAAAAAGTCACAATCACCCGCTACTACGTGCCCACAAACAACTCAGAACAAGAGAGGAAGGAAGAACTTTACAGACAATTGCAAGTATTAATGGACAAGACGCTAAATGGAGACATCAAAATCCTAATGAGTTACATGAATGCTAAACTGGCAGCATACAATAAAGGAAGAAAATTCATCATAGGTCGCCAGGATCCCAGTGAAATGAATGAAAATGGAGAACTCTTCTCAGACTTTTGTGCATTCACTGATTTGGTGATTTGAGGTAGCGTGTACAAGCACAAGGATATAGACAAGGCAACATGGATTTCACCTGATAGATACATCAAAAATTAGATAGATTTCATCTAACTCTCAAGAAAGTGGTAATCCAGCCTGCTAGACACAAAGTCGAGAAGAGGAGCAGATGTGGGCTGAGATCTTTATCTATGGAACTTCTAACGTCAAATTGCGAGCCTTCAAAGCAGCTAAGGATAGACCGCAATTCAAGCTCAGCGCTCACAAACTGAAGTAGGAAACTGCAAAGGATGCATTTACTACAACCATCAGAGGAAAGTCGGAGACACTGTGTCGCATCACTGAGGAAACCTGTGTGGAAGAACACTGGAACACCCTCTTGGATTGCCTTCGAAGAAGGCCCGTGGAGGTGCTTCAGGAAGAAAGAAGAAGCAAGACAAGGAATAGCAGTCAATGGATACCTGGAAGCTAATAGAAGAAGGAGAAACAGTGAAATAGAAGATGAATCAATACAGAGATGGACAATTGAAGGGGAAGCTAAGTTCAATGTACAGCGTGCTGAATAAAGAAGTGAGAAATAGTGTGAAGAAAGACAAAAGATGATTCTACGACACGCTAGCAACTGAATCGGAACAGGCCGCAAGTAAAATAGACTTCAGAACACTATATCAGGTAACCAGGTCTCTATCTGGGAGGAGATCAGCACAGATTAATCCAATGAAAGATAGTGATAAGAAGAGTCTAGAAGATCTGGTAATGATTTAAATATGATGTCACATAAACTTGAGAACCTACAGGCAAAAACAGGAAAATCGGTGGAAGAAGCAACAAAGACATTACTGCAACTGAAAACAGAGAAGGCGAAGGTGGTGAAGACAACCAACCAACAACAGCAAACACCGATCATTATCAACGGAAGAAATTTGAAAGGGGTAATTGCCTTCACTTATCTAGGCAACTTAGTTTAAGTAACAGGCGGAATGAATGAGGATGTCAAAAGCAAGACAGACCTTTATCACTCTGAGAGCAGTTTGTAAATCTTCTGCACTCAATATAAAGGACGAAATTCTGACCTTTAACACCAATGTTAAGTCAATGCTTCTATGTGGTTCGGAAACTTGATGTGTCATGGGAAGCATTCCAAAAAGCTGCAGACTTTTATCTACAGATGCCTTCTCTCTATACCGAAGATCGTATGGTCGACTGGGGAGAATTGACCACAAGAAACTCTGGGAACGAACCAATCAGACACCTATCGCCCAAAAAATATGTCAGTGAAAATGAAGATGGATAGGACATACGTTGAGGAGACTGTCGGGTGACATCACAAGTCAGGCCCTCGAGTAGAACCCGAGTGGAAAACAGTGAACTGAGCATCCGAGGGTGACATGGAGGAGGGGTTGGTAACTTATGGACAATCGTGGGGCCAGCTGAAGAGGACTACAGGGGACAGGACAAATTGGTAATGTGCTGTTGAAGCCCTATATTCCATTCGAAATAATATATTTAGGTCTAAAGTGAAAATTATTATAATACTGGTTATTAGGTAAACAAATAAGTGATACACAATATAAGACACTGATTACCAGAAGTAGGTGAAAAACGGAACACATCAATTCAGTGATGCACGCCAGTTACGTTGATTTTATCTGGAGAACAGAAAAGTGATTCGGTCTTCTAGAAGAAAGTACAATCAGTAGTAAGGCGGCACTCAGATTAGTTTAATCTCTAAAGTTTAATGGTTTCTTATTAAGTAGTAAGAGCGTTATGACCTTAGATTAAGGTCCATTCCCCTATATCCACTTCAAACCTCATCACCCACCTGAAATTTATGAGAATGATCAATGACAAAAATATGCCTAGTGAAGTATGAACTCAACTATGTACATCTCTACTTTACTAGGACCCGAGGTTTTTATTTAACTCTTAATCCATTTATATACTGTCTTTATATTTCATATACTACTAATGTTACAATCTTTTGAATATTATTATAGTCATGAGAGTGTGTAATACAGTTGCAGAATGTTCGCCAGTCACTCACATGATCTCACTTTGATTCCCAGTCAATGCACTTTTAAGCCTTGACTAGCTTACTAACCACTGGTTATCCCAGGAAACAGGGAGGTTAAGTGGATGACTAGCGCTTCTGTCGTCTGAAAGCAAGATAACTGACACTGAATCTTCAATGACTGAAGCGGCATGTTCGACTTGGAATTTAGAGGAATTGGAAAGTCTTCAATTTAGTGAAAAGTATTATTATTATGTTTATGGATAAAATTTTAAATTCACAAATCTGGGGATCCTTCACAGGCGTGTTGAATTGACCAGAAGAAATTTATAATCATCCTTCAGACCACATTTTCGCTAATGGGAATTCAATGACTCTGCATGGCAATTTCGCATACGATATTGCTCACTTCGTAATAAAAAGTTATATTCACTTAATATTTCGTATAGTAACGACTATTAATATCAATGTTTAACGAATCCATTTCGGTTCTTTGACTGATAATTCGATATCTAGGTTTACATACTGACTGTGGCTGAAGAATCAACGTAAACCAAAGGATATTGCTGTACAGGTGATTTTTTGTCCTAGTCTAAGACTCTACAGTAGAGTATGCAGTCATTACACCAAGGGCAGTTAGATGAGGAGAGAGCACATCATCATACAGGCGTCGATTTCCCACTTCTACCGAATATCAAGATGTGCCAGAGCCATCTGATATCACGTAAATTTCAAATGTAATTCCATCAATTCAATTTCATGAAATGTTTACATAACATCAAAGTTGTAAGCAAATATCAGTTTAACAAGGGACAGTGTTTTTGTATTCTTTATTACACTATATACTATACTGGTGACGTGCTTGAATCACTGGTCCACCCGAATTTCCATCCTAGATAATATGTATTATTTTCTTTTATTCTCGTTGTTATAATCATTCATTTAAATCTCTGGTTCGCCATATGTACTCATACACATTTTTTAATTGGTTTGCAGCCTACTGTTGCTCAGTTCTGGCGAACCAAAGAAAAATACAATAAAGGATTATTTTATTCTTCAGATCTAACATTTCTGCGTCACATGATCTTCTGGGGATGGCTGTTTTACTTGAAACTCCTGGATGAAGAGGAAATATCATACAATAAACTACGCTGAAAATTATACATGTTGTGTAAACCTAATGTGCATGATGAAGCTATTGTTATGACATATAACTAAAATTATCATTACGGTTGCGTACATAGTGTTACTTACTTCTAAATCGCTCTAATTATAAACCTACTGCTTATCTAAGAAGTTTCAGAAATAAATGATGCGATGACGGTAGAGTAGTCTTGTTTGCAATACTACCATTGTGCGTAAACACATATAACAAATAGACTTATAATAATTTAATCCATTTAAACAAGGCATATATACGTTTCACAAACATTACTCAAGCATTACAGTTGTTCTTTGTCTAATTTTTTATCTTGACTGCATAGTTTATTTACGTAAAACAATGTCATACTCATAATTAGTCACCTTCAAACAATGCTGACATCATTTTAAACCCGAATGATATACGCCATGAAGACAGTTGTTAACTAATCTAACTGCTCAAGACTTTTAGTATCTATAACAAGAGGAAACTGAGTGGAAAATAACAATAATTTGAAAACAAGAGAGAAATTTGTAAGCTCACCATCGGTTATAATGACAAAGTTGTCACAGGAATCGATGGAGTAATAGCTATAATTGCTTCATTGAATTGGTACACTTAAGTTTGAAAATGATTTTATTCAAATTCCACTTTGTTGACAGAGGGTCAATGGAAAACATTTTAGATCTAAGTATTGTATATCACAATAACCCAGCTAGCTATACCGGCTGGAAGATATTTTGCTGCAGGTCCTATCATACCATGAAGACTGCATGGATACTATTTGCATCAAAAATAGTCACCATAATAGTGTAAGTTGCTTGCACTATGCCTTGGGTCTCAGAGCAAAGTTGTCCTGTCCCCTTTGGGTGCAAAAGAAGTAACGTTTTTCCCTTAGACGACGATTAGGCCAGGTAGTATGCCTTCTTGATCCAGAGGGGAGGGGTAAGAAACAGTCGACTCAGAAAATTTTATATCGTGACTGAACTTGAGGCAGTTGAACTACTCGAATAAATCAGGGAGAATTTTGTTTGATGAAAAATAAAACTTAGTAAGAGAAGGTCTTTTTGTTTATTTCTAGAATTGAAATTCCAATATGAACATCCAGTCCCACTTTTTCCTTTGAATTAGAACTTG